CTTTAGTACTGTTTGTCAGTTCTGACCATCCATGACTGTCATGGACTAACAAGCTGTTTATCAGGTCGAAACATTTGGATCCATGGCCAAGACGGAAAAAATTGCTTTTATTCTTGAGCAGGTATTATGGCAATCTATTATGTTAAATACTTTGTATTCTTACTAAAATGCTGATTCATGCAAAACTTTCTATTATTGTTGTCACAGGTCCGGCTATGCCTAGATCGGCAAGATTATGTCAGAGCACAGATTTTATCAAGGAAAATTAGTACTAGAGTATTTGAAGCAGATCCATCGAAGGAAAAAAAGAAACCAAAGGAAGGGGACAATATTGTTCAGGATGCTCCTGCGGACATTCCATCCCTACTAGAATTGAAGCGCATCTACTATGAACTGATGATTCGGTATGTGATGCTTCTCAATCTCAATTAGATTAATGCACTACTGGCGTGCTATTTGATTGTCATTGTCATTATTGGCTCGTCTACCTGACTACCTCTGGAACCCCCAATTTCTTTTTTCTATTTAACACTATGGTTCATAACTACATTTCATATTGGAGACAATCATAATTCTTCGTTGTCTCTTCACAGATATTACATGCACAACAGTGATTACCTGGAAATCTGCCGCTGTTACAAGGCGATTTATGATATTCCAGCGATAAAAGAGGATCCAACAAAGTGGATACCGGTACTGTCTCTCAACTCTCAACATGTGTATACACTCCCCCTGACCCGCATCCACCAACCCCTTAATTATCTGACTACCTTAAGTCCTTTGCAGATTCTTAGGAAGATCTGTTGGTACTTGGTTTTAGCACCTCATGATCCTATGCAATCGAGCCTTCTGAATGCTACTCTCGAGGACAAAAACCTTTCAGAGATTACCAATTTCAGGTACATTTGCATGTTTGCAAAATTGCTCTCATAACTCCAGGCAGGCTTATCTCAGTAATCATTTTTTTTCCTGTTGTGATGTAATGGAAAAAAAGGTTCTTGCTAAAGAAGCTGGTTACAATGGAGGTTATTCAATGGACCAGCTTGTGGGATTTCTTAAAGGATGAGTATGAGACTGAGAAGAATCTGCTTGGAGGAGCTTTGGGTGCCAAAGCTGCAGAAGATATGAAGCTCAGGATCATTGAGCATGTATTGCTTACTTTATGTTTGGTCAATAGTTATAGTTATTTTGCTCTATACTTGTCCATTGAATCTGACTTACTGCTCTGTTCAGAATATCTTGGTCGTGTCGAAGTACTATTCCAGGATTACCCTCAAGAGGCTTGCGGATCTTCTTTGCTTGAGTCTGCAGGTTTGTATTTTTTTGTTTAAATGTCCCAATACATGACAATCACCTGAATTATGAAAGCATTTTATAGCTGCAGTTGCAGCTGAGATCTAACTGGAACTACACATTACTCTTTTCAGGAGGCAGAGAAGCATCTTTCAGACATGGTGAACTCAAAAGCTTTGATTGCGAAGATTGACAGGCCGATGGGAGTTGTCAGTTTCCAGACAACTAAAGATTGTAATGGTACACTCAACTCATGGGCTACCAACCTCGAGAAGCTTCTCGACCTGGTCGAGAAAAGCTGTCACCAGATTCACAAGGAAACCATGATCCATAAGGCGGTGTTGAAAGCTTGAGTGTTTGGCACTGCCCATTTTGGTGTAGGTTCCCTTCGCAGCCTGCCGTGGTGTTAAGATACTGTAACAGCAGGAGGGCTCTGAATTGAGATTATTTAAGATTAACCGGTGCTATCAATTGAAAGATTATTGTTCGGCTGCACTTCACAGCAGCGCTGCCATGGCTGCCGCTGTGGCCGTTGTCAGACCAGAATACGTACAAAATAATAATTCTCTATATATGCCTGATTGAAGATTTTGATTCGATTCGTTGGTCCTTGGTGGGACTTGTTACGGGCCACTGGACGACTTCTCAGCTCACATTTCATATCTCTTCATATCTGTAACAAACTAGTATCAATGTTTTGCTATCGTTGTTGGACGGCGCCACGCTGGTGAGTGGTGACCAGTGTCGCAGTGAGTGTCTCGCACTGCTCACCCTCCACGAACCGACGAGAATTTCAGTGTTGACACGGTTGCAGGCCATGGAAGTTTCCAAGGTCAGGCAAACAGAAAGGGGTACTGTACGTACGAGGGACCAAAATTTTAGTCCACTGAAGATGGCTGGAAAAAGTGCGAAGTTGAGCCTGCCTGGGCACAACAGCGCCACCTCCCGCACCAGCCTCGTCCCTACGCTGAGTCTGAATAAACCTGCCACTGCTGACACTTTTTTTTGGAAACCTAAGAAATCATTCAAGCTTTTTTTACTTCTCTACTAAAAGTCCAAACCATTGCCTCTACAAAAATACCGCATGGCACTGGTCAAATTACATTACAGGTCACAATAACCACTGCTGCAGCCTGCATATAGAAGAACGAAAATGAGCCACGACGAAGCAGCCAGCCTCCAACACAGGGCCTTTCAGTCTGACACGGTTGCTTCCTTCCTATCATAATTCATACGGCTGCATATAGAATTTGAGTCGCCGTATAGCCAACTCAAGTTTGGTATAATTTATATGAAGGGATGATTGAAGGAATATAAACGTGAGCACCAAACAATACGGATGCAATTCTTTCTTTACGAAATTGTATGCAATCTAATATTAATTCTGCATGTCGTAACGGCAGGTGCAACAGTTTGCTGCCTCAATTGATTGCAGTGGTGGTCGGAGCTGAAAACGGAGCAATCTGGTAGCATATCATCTGGGTTATTAAAGCTGGGTGATTATTGCGGAAAATGTATTCCAGTCGAAGCGCACTGAACATTTGGACATGAATTGTCTACAGCTTAGCATCTCCAGCTTAACATGCCGGAATTGTACAGCAAATACCATAACATTTTGTTTAACTGTATGCTGTGCGCTCCTGGTTCATTTTTTTTCTATGAACACGTTGCTTTCTCTAGAGTTTCCTGCAGTTCTCCACTCTTGTATGCCTCTGCAAAATAGGCCGTGAAGTTAGCATTAGCCACTAAGATTGGTTCGAATGTTTGAGATAAAATATATATTGAGTCGTGGAAACAGCAATGAAAATACCGTGTGTATGGAATTCAGTTTCTGAGTACATGAAAAGTTAGTGTACAGGAAAAAAATGAAATAAAAAAACAAGGAATGACCCTAGCCAGGACTAATCAGGTTAGTCCTAGCCCCTAACCTGAAGTACATAAACATCACATTTTTTTACCACTGATTTTGAATGTCCTGCAGAGATCCCCCAGACCTAAGATTGATTGCCCTTCCTCAATTTTTTATTCTAAAGCATTCAGTCTTGAACATTGGCTATCTATTTTCCAAAAGCATCACATCCTGGGGTGGAGTAAACCTATAGCATCAACTCTATAGTCTATCTAACCTTAGAGGGCACTGTAACTATGCAAGGTATGTCCACAAGCAGCAGCATGTTCAGCAGCACTAGTCTCAAAAGATAGATCAGGTGCTGTTCACATGTCTCAAAAAGCAGGCACTAGTGCTGACCTTTTACAACCACGATAAACAACAGGGATGGTTGACCTTCTATAGACAAAGCAAACTGGAATATACAAACAAGAATGAAACAAGGATTGAGTGTATGGCTTTGTAAACAATGATGCATGGTGAAGGAATGTGATTTGCTCTTATGAATCACTGAATTAATAAAGTTGAGCTCGTCTGATTTTACTCATACAGCTGGGTTATCAATGGTTGGGGATCAATTTGAGTTACGGAATGGAAAATTGTTGTCCCTTCTTGAAAAAAAATGAGGACAAGAACAGTCCCTGAGTATAACTAAAAGATCACACAGTTGTTATATTTAATGGTTGACATGAAATAGGTGTTCAGATGTAGCGATCATCATAATGTTAATTTGTCCTAGAGAGTGGTCTTGTTTGTTCCCATTGGCACTTTGCAAGTGAGCAATAAGGTATTTCTCGAATGTGATGAACCCAACTGTTTCATTCCTACAAGGTAATGGCCACCTCTTACAACCACGATAAACAACAGGGATGCCTGACCTTCTATAGACAAAACAAATTGGAATACACAAACAAGAATGAAATAAGGATTAAGTATATGGCATTGACGCAAATGCAAAACACTAGGTATTTGTCTGGTATTTAGAAAATGCCCTTGCTGTTTACAAAGACACTGATCACTAAGAAAGAGAAGGAAGGATCTGTGCCAATGGCCTGCAACTATTTACTTGCTTTTGCTATTTAGGGCATGCACAATGCAAACTGCAAAGGCTCTTATGGGGATGCTGAACGAAAGAGAATAACTGACATGCCATCAAGAGTTGTGTAAGAGTCTCAATTTCCAATGGAAGCAACATTTTTTTAGGCGCTTAAAAGCTCCATAAAGTTAAGAGTTCACTTAAGCGTCACCAACACCCAATGCCTAGTGTTTATTTATTTACTTTCTCTTGTCTCTTCTACAAATACACCATCTAATCTAGACCTACAATTGGAGTTTACCAGGTGAATAGCAATTGGAAGAGAATGTGTGTGTGAACCAACCAGACACTAGCCTGGAGTATACCTCAGAGGCATGAAGCTTGCCACAGATCATTTGTGAAATCTACCATCTTTGGTGATAAACTCCCTAAATGTCCGATTAGTGCCTTTTCTGTGTGCAAAGATTGTGATTAAGAAAGAGAAGGATTTGTGGTGGTGACTTCCTCCAAACTGGCAACCAGAGTTTTCCAACCAAATCGTTACTGAGATAGAATGTGCACTTGTGGAAAAACCAGACACTACTCCAGACTATGCCTTCAGCACACGCATACTGTGGTACGCTCGAAATTAAGTAAACATGTATGGAGCTTGTACTGATCGTCTGTGAAATCTACCATCTTATTAGTGAGAGACTCCCAAGATGTCGTATTAGTGGATTAGGATGGCAGACAAACAAATTGTTCAACCAATGGGTCAGTTTCCAATACCATGGGATCGTGAGCTCAGCAAAAACGTCTAGAATTTTCAGGCACGAGCATCAGTGAACGAAGCAAGAAAACATAGTATATACCAACGGTGATGTCACATCCGCCGAAGAACTCGCCGTCGATGTAGAGCTGCGGGAAGGTGGGCCAGCTGGAGTACTCCTTGAGCCCCTGCCGGAGCACCTCGTTGGCGAGCACGTCGAGCGTGTCGAAGGGCACGTTGAGCGAGCGCAGGATCTGCACGACGGTGTGCGAGAAGCCGCACTGCGGGAAATCCTTGGTGCCCTTCATGAACAGCACCACCTTGCTGGACCCCACGACCTTGTCCAGCGTCGCCCGCATCTCCGGGCTCAGCGCCGCCAGGCACCGCACCGACCGACCGCGCGCCGGCAGCCGCTCCCGCCCGGTCCGCCCGAGAGTGAGGCGCTGGGCAGGAACAGGAGCCAGGGGGAGCAAGGCGACCCTGGCAGTCCGCGGCCGCGCCGAGAGCGGGAGCGGGACGGCAGCGGCCCCGGCGAGAGGCCTCGCGGCCGTGGCGGAGGCAGCCATCGCGGTGCGCCGGCGGCGACGGATGGCACGGAGCAGCGGGTGTGGTGGACTGAGCTGGGACTGCACGGAATAATTAATTAATTATTTTTCGTGGCCATGGAGGAGGAAGCGAGCAGAACCAACACCCCACCGGGCCCATGGGCCAAGGATGGCGTTTGGCTTGGGCCGCAAATCTGGGCCCGAAAACCCAGCGTGACGCCCGGTTAGATGAGGAGGAGCTGCGTGTGTGCCGGCCGTTCTCATTCCCCCCTCTAAACTTAAAGCCCTAAACCCATCTCTCCCCCTCGTCTCCACTCCTCTGCTCCTCCTCGCTCCGCCGCCGCTGCAGCGACGCGACGACAGGTAATGGCTTCCGCCGCGGTGCTCCGGAACTCCGGCTCCCGCCGCCTCTTCTCCTACCCCACCCTCCGGGCCACCGCGATCTCGGGGCCCGCCGCGCTACCCGATGCGCCCGCGGCGGCGGCGGCGCCGGCCCAGCCGCCACCGATGGCCGGGACCCTCTGGGCGAGGTCCATGGCCACCTTCATGCGCACGTGAGTACTCCTTGGCCCAGATCCGTGCCGTGACCGCTACTTTCTCGTTCTAGATTCATTCATGAATTCATTTCCATCGATCCGTGCAATTCAATAGTCCGCCTATTGCTTCGTTTGATTCACTTGACAAATCGGATCAATCTGTGGCAGGAAGCCTCACGTGAACGTCGGCACCATTGGGCACGTCGATCACGGCAAAACCACGCTCACTGCTGCCATTACCAAGGTTGGATGCGCTAGCCATGGTCCTGCTTAATTGCTCGCTTGATTTCCAAACAATTGGGTTGATTCAACAGCGTTTGTTTCCTCGTTACTATAGGTTCTGGCTGAGGCAGGGAAAGCCAAAGCCGTTGCTTTTGACGAGATCGACAAGGCACCGGAAGAGAAAGCCAGAGGAATCACCATTGCAACGGTTGGGTCCTAGCACATGTCCTATAATTTGGGCCAGACTGCCAGACGCAATTCTCTTCATATTTTTTTTAATCTTCATTTACTGCCCATTGTTTAACCATTTGGATTGTTTTTTAGGCTCATGTCGAGTATGAGACGGCTAAAAGGCATTATGCTCATGTTGATTGCCCAGGTCACGCAGATTATGTCAAGGTTAATACCAACTATGTTTTCTCACTCAAATGCATTATTATTATTTTATGAATTGACGTTGTTTGCATGTCAAATTGAGAAATTCCTAGTGAAAGCCATCATCTAGAGCTGATCCCAATCTAATTTTTCTTTGAAAATGGTAGAACATGATCACCGGAGCTGCTCAAATGGATGGTGGTATTCTTGTCGTGTCAGCTCCCGATGGCCCGATGCCACAAACAAAAGAGCATATTCTTCTTGCCCGTCAGGTATCAAATGCTTATTTGGATTGTCATTTAAAATTCTTCTTTCAGACGCTGCTTTTATGGTCTTGACTTTATCAGATAAACATGTTCTCTCTTTCTAGGTTGGTGTACCTTCACTTGTGTGCTTCTTAAACAAAGTTGATGCTGTTGATGACCCAGAGCTACTGGAACTTGTAGAGATGGAGCTTCGGGGTATGCTACCATCCATATGTCTCCACATCATGTTTAGGTAACTGTCTGTATATTCTAATAAGGTTGTTTTGCGCCCCCCCCCCCCCTTTTGCAGAGCTCCTCACTTTCTACAAGTTTCCTGGTGATGAGATTCCGATCATCCGTGGATCGGCATTGTCAGCTTTGCAGGGGAACAATGATGAGATTGGAAAGAATGCCATTTTGAAACTAATGGATGCAGTTGATGAGTACATCCCTGATCCTGTGAGGCAGCTTGATAAGCCTTTCTTGATGCCGATTGAAGATGTGTTCTCTATCCAGGTGATTTTATTTATGAGCTATCACTACTGCAGTATTCACTAGTTATTCAAGTATGGTGTTGTTTCTTCCATTTTGATTAGGGATACTAATTTTGGTTTCCCTGGGTTACTGGGTCGTTCAAAACCTAACCATTGAAATTAGATCATATTATTTCGGACGGTATTCAACTAAATGCTGAGCTTTTCAACATTGCTGTATTGGCCATTGTATGTTGAGAACTATTTGTGTGAACAAATGATTGCAGTGGTGACTAGAAAACTAAACAGCAAATATTTCTAGGATCTGCTTTGGTTAAACAATTTAATTTTGCACCATGGACATCTAAAAATTTACGCTGACTGACAGCATGAATTTGATGATGTTGAGTATAAATGCATAAATAATATCTACTTTGTGTTGTTTCAGATAAGGTCGTTAAAGAAATCACTGGTCATAGTGATACCTTGCGGATTGTGTCAATATGTTAAACGACTTATATTTTTATCAGATTAATAGGAAATTGAAAAAAATCATTGATAGGAATGTACCATACAATCTGGTCATATGTTTTTTTTTTCAATATTTGCTAATTATTTTGGAGATAAAACATTCTTGTTTCCTATATACAGTGCAATGATTCAATGGTTCGTACTGTGTAGAACTAAAGAGTGATTTTAGTAGGCATTCTTTACTGAACCATATTTGTACTTCTTTTTGCAACAATTTATTTCCTTTTAGTATTGTAAAGTATTTTCAGTGGCTTTTACGCTCATGGTTTCCTTTCTTGTGCTGTCATGTTCTTTAGGTAAATATGATTTGAATTACTGATGCTGTTATTAGGCATTCCAATGCAGGATTAGCCATTGAATTGTCAAAGAAAAATTATTATGAGGGAGTTATCATATGTTTTTAAGTAGCCTGTTTGATCTGCAGGGTCGTGGAACTGTTGTTACTGGTCGTGTTGAACAGGGAACAATTAAAACTGGTGAAGATGTTGAGATCTTGGGTTTGACACAGGTTAGATCTTCCTTTTTTTTTGCCTGGGATTAAATTTGTGATACAACTAAACTATTGCATGTTTATCCTACTTTCTAATGTTTGAAGTATGAATTGAACGAGTTGTTGGTTTATCAAATTCAGTATATTAGTAGTTAACAAGGACTAAGATGTCCTAAATTCTAGAGCTGCCCAGGTCCTTCTTTTGGTTAATGTCATGGGCCTCATGGTGCAAGACATTGAGCTCCAACTTAGTATACATCCCACTTTTTCCTTGACTGTTTAAGTTTTGGGTGATTTATTTGTAAATGTAAGCCAATAACTAATCACAAGAGCAGAAGGTTAAACAGTAATGCAATACATTCTTGGTCGCAGACTGGTCCCTTGAAGACTACAGTTACTGGTGTTGAGATGTTCAAAAAGATACTGGACCATGGAGAGGTAATGATGGTGAAAGCAGATTGTGCCAGGTTTTTTTATTGATTGAGAGTATCATACATGCAACTTTGTGTAGGCTGGTGACAACGTTGGTCTTCTTCTTCGTGGTCTTAAGCGTGGTGATGTCGAGCGAGGCCAGGTTAGCATTCCTGACTTTAAAATGATCTGATAGAAGTTTTAGAAGCATCCACTGAACTGTTTTGTCTGGAAAACTACTTTGCATTGATGATACATTGTTGCGTGATCACCAAAATGACTTTTATTTGTGATCTTTAGTATTTGTTCCACAATTTCTAGGTCTCCGATACTAAAATTGAACCATATGTAATGTTGATGCCGTGTCATTTTCTACCGTTTCAGGTGGTGTGCAAACCTGGTAGTCTGAAGACATACAAAAAGTTTGAGGCAGAAATATACGTCCTGACAAAGGATGAGGGTGGCCGCCACACTCACTTTATGACAAACTACAGTCCCCAATTCTACTTCAGGACTGCTGATGTCACTGGAAAGGTTGAGTTGATTGGTGAAACGAAGATGGTTTTGCCCGGTGACAATGTAACTGCGAATTTCGAGTTGATATCACCTGTTCCTCTTGAACCTGGTAACGACTATATTCTCAAATTTTCTTTCATAATATAGATCTGGTCTTTTGATAACACGTCGTGCTTTTTTGTCTTGTGATGCCATTACACACTCCATGTTCCTTTTTCATTAAAGATAAAATAAATTCATATTAGATCGTCAACTCTTTTCTCATGATGTAGGGCAAAGATTTGCGCTGAGGGAAGGAGGGAGGACAGTTGGTGCAGGAGTTGTCTCCAAAGTTATTAGCTAATAAGTTTGCACTTTCTTCTCCGTAGCAATTTAGTAAACAGATGAATGTTGATATGTCCGACCGGGTTAGAAACGAGAGCAAAGGACCGGTTTGCATTTTTTCTAGGAATGCATGAGCACAAAGTCAGAGCTGGCTGGCCTGGCCACCCTTCGGGACAGTACCTTCTGTTTTCTTGTTGAGGTGTGTGGTCTATGTAACACCACAGTTAGAGTTTGGTTGACACGCATGTTGGGCGTAACTCATTGATTGAATAAGACTAGTCTCATAATAAGCATATTTTCTAGCCATTTTGTCAAGTTGGTCTTGGAGGCGCTTTGTCAAGTTTGCAGAAAAAAAATTGCTGGTTGTGGTCCCATCCCCCGGAGGGCTATGCGGACTATTTCCCTGTTCGGCTGATATTAAAGCCGACTGATAAGCCGATCTTGGCTGATTTGTTGTGAGAGAAAAATACTGTAGATTCTAGCTGATAAGCTGACTGATAAGTTAAGCGAACAGGCCACTTTATGTATTTGTGGTGTTTACAGTGGTCACCTATGGAAGCCGTCGCTAGCTTCTCGTCTGGTGATGGATAATCCTGTTTCTCTAGTCTTTTTTCTTGGTTTGCTTGCCTGCTGCCGCTCACAATCCTGTACTGCCCTATTTTGCATGCTTCTGCTACTGTCAACAACTTCTTGCCATTCGCCAAAAGCATTGCTTCTGCTGCTTTTACGTAGAGAATTACGTAGAAATTAAGAAAATTTAAACACAGTACAAAAACATAGGTATACATTACCTATCTCTGTGAACGCTTACGAGAGGCAATGCCGTTGGGTCTTGAAATTGACTGGTCTAATGTCTACCACCAGTAACAGGACCTGTCACAAAAAAATATTTTAGTAAGGATGATTGCTTTGAATAGAGTTTTCCTATCTTTTCTGTGCACTCACGAGACATACTGTCAGGTATTGCTATTCGAATCCCTCGAGCAAAACATGGAGCGCTGATTCAACCCTTCTTTTTCAATAAAGTGAAACAACACTCAGAGTGATTTAAGGGTTATATTCACTCGAATTTTTTTGCCCGACCCAAGAATGCCACGTAGTCTTGTTGCTCAACTCTAGCAAGGTTAGGGTTAAGGTTGGGGGTTTAGGGGCTTGCGTGAATCCAAGGAGCTTAAAAGGATTGCTGGGGGAGAAGGTTGGTCAGGCGGTGGTAGCGGGCGTCCGAGGTGGTTGGGGGAAGGGGGAGAGGGGAGGCAGCAATTCCACCGGCAACCGCACGGTGGGGAAAGGCGGCTGAGCAGGACAGTGGGTGACGAACGTGACGGAGATAGCCCGATGACCTTCAATTGGTTAGACTGGCGCCTATCGGGCGTCGTCAGATCCTATCGGGATGTAGTGGCGGTAGGGGAGCTCAACCAAGGATGAGTAAGACATTAAGATGGCTAGGAGGCGCACATCCGATTGATTTAGGGCTAGGCTACGGTGGTTAGCGGCGGAGGAGTCATCGGAGTTAGGTGCCAACAGAGAAAGAAGGGAAGAAAGAGATTTTTTCTAGGCCATATATTTTATATCTAAGAGCATAAAGAAAAATCAAGTGATGGTTGGCTTTAGTGCTGCATAGAAGGGTCCTTCTTTTTTATAGAACTGTTTCAAATACGCCATTAGGATGCATTGTTTAGCAAGCATTTGGTTGGATGCTATGTCAATAGGTCACGAGATTAATACAAGTCTATCGTCTTCTCCCAATGAAAGTATTATAATTAAGCGTACGAGGACACCCATGTTAAGTTGCTGTCAAGGCTCAAATAGGCAGACGAACTTAGCTAGGAGCGGACCTAGTCCATTCTTATGGAGACCACCTATATGATTAATTAATAATAACTAACAAAATAATAGTAACATCTAACCTTTATGTGTCGGACCTAGTCCATTTTTATGGAGGCCACCAATATAATTAATTAATTAAAAATAGGACTAATATCTACCCTTGATCTCATTGTTTAATGGACCTAGTCTAGTAGATTCGTGCTTCAACTTCGACCAATGATGGCCATATATGACAGTGTTCATCTCACACATGGAAAGGCTAGGGGAAGATGAAGAAGGAGAGGATGGTGCGACAGTAGATTCGCATTCCGAAGCAGGCTTGGAATGTCTGAGGTGGCTGCGCGGCGGCTACGTTAGGGTACGACGCCGCGTGGAAGTGATGACGCGCGCTTGGGAGTGGGAGGAGAGCACGCTGGCTGCATGCCTTGCCGCCGCCGCTCCTGCTATTGCTTGGATTGGATTGGGCTACGTTCACATTCACAAATCAACACAATTCGATTCCGGCTCCGATTCAAACTGCAACTCCCTCTCCCTCCAGCAAATTTTTTTGTCGATCTTTTCATCCCAAGTGACCCGATCGCATAGATTTATATAGGCAACACGCCTCTTCTTGAATTCTGATCCCCAGCCGATTCGGTTCCATACCAAACCATCAATCCAATCCCGCCCTAAAACCCTACCCCGGGAAGGAGCCGGAGGAGAATAGCAGATCGAGCCAGCCGCCGAGGAAGAGAGCAATGCCGCCGCCGCCGCAGCTGCCCTCCGATCACGCCACGCCCCGGCCGCGGCCCAGGCCCCCGCCGCCGGCCGGCGAGAGCTCGGTCCCCGTCCACGCCGCCAAGAGGGCGCCGCCGCCGCCAGCTCCCGCCGCCGCCGCCAAGAAGATGGCGCGCCCGGCGTCCGCGCCTGACCTCACGGCGCTCCCCGCCGCCGCCAGGCCCAGGCCGCGCCCCGCCCTCGACGCCGGCCAAGAACGGCGCCCCGGCCAAGGGCGGGAGCGGGAGGCCGGCGTTCATGAGCGCCGCGCGGCGCCCAGACCGTGCGCCCGCGCGCGGCTCACGCCAGGACCGCCGTCTACGTGCGCACCACCTTCCGGCCACGCAATGTCAACATCAGGTGCCGCATCCTGCTGTGGCTCCGCGCGCGGGTCGTCTCCTCCCCCGACGCCTACCACTGCACCATCAAGTACGCCGCCGACCTCAGCGACATGTTCGCCGGCAAGATCGTCAACAAACCCGCCGACCACGTCCGCCTCGCGCCACGCCCCACGACCGCCAAGCCGGCCAAGCCCATGGCACCGGCGCTCGAGGCAAAGGAGGAGGCGTCGTCATTGCCACGACGATGATCCAGGGCGTCCTCATTCCCTGTACATGCTTCTTTGAGCAGAGATTTTGTGGGTGCTCATTCTTGGAGCAGAGAGATTTTGTGGGATGCTCATTCTTCGAGCAGAGATTTTGTGGCACTTGTCTTGCGGATCAGTGCCACAGCCTTAACCGGCTTTTCGATCGATCTTAGTAAATTTTGGATTGATCTAAGTGAACTCTTGCTAGCTTTATGCGGCTTTTCGATTGATCTTAGTGAAAAAATAATCATAGTTTTTCACGAGTCAGATCGATCCTCGACGTGAGCCGACCAGTGAGAGAACCAGCGCCCGGGTGCCAGCCTGCTCTAGAGGCGTCTCCCAGGAGATTGAAGCATCTCTGATGGATACCTGTTCTCCGGCGACGGCTGCTTCCCCGTCGTTGCTGCTGCAGGAGCTGCCACACCTCACGCCGCCTCGGGTCGGGCAACTCGAGGTCGAACATTGGATCACGGTAGGCACGCGCACCCCCGGCGACGCGACGCCCATGCCACGTGAGGCTGCTCAGCATCTTGCAAGGTTCACCGAGGAGGTGTAGTGCTAGAGAAGGTCACCATTGATCGCCAGTCCTCCGGTAGCAAAGCGCCCCCCGCCAATCACGAGCAGGCGGATTGCCGCTCAACCATTGTCGCACATACCGACGTCCAAGCGGGGCCGCCGGCAGCACCAGTTTCTTCCGCGCCCAAGGGAGCATACGAAGCCATTCTCAAAGGGAACTTGACGTTGAGCCAAATTGCTGGACGAGTTATTCCCATCGACCAACAACAGGGCCGGTAGAAAGTTCTTCTCGGACGCCGGAGTAGGATCACGCAGCCAGCAGTGGAGGCGTGCAGCTTCGTAGGTTGCAGCACTGCTCCTAGCTCGGTTGCAGACATTTTATGTAATATCGAAGCCTGGAACTGTTTGCTAGGACGGTCCAGCCTACAGCTGTAAGACCTTCGAGGGTGTTTGTTAGAAGCGCGTCGTTTGTATGATTAAACTCTTCTTCTTAATTACAATGATGCACAAATCTTTTGCATATTCGGAAAAAAAAAAGTCAGATCGATTTTGACGTTGCTTGCTTCCGAGTTCCTACGATCGTTCAAGAGTCCACCGGCAAGGGAGAAGATGAGATGATGCCCGTGGTAGGAAAAGGCCCTAAGGCTGAGAGTCAGCAGAGCTGCTTGTGCTGCTGATGCCGGACGCAAATTCATAAAACATCAATGCAGCTGGTTTAATTGTAATCATACTATAAGCTGCTATCACAATGTCAGTGACATCTTTCAGCGGCGAGAAACGAAGATATTAAAATCTTGAGATGGCAGAGCACAATCACCACTGCAAAGAGTTGAACTCGCCATGTTGAACTACACAAACATTATAAAGTGATGACCCAGTAAATCCTGGTGCTCATGTATGTTGTGAACCAACCACAAACGTAACAATAATCATCAAAACCAGCAAAATGGATTCCATGGCATCTCAACATGCACAACCTTAGGTAAAAGCTCGGATGGAGAAACTAAAAGTTTCCAGACTGGGAACACAAAGAGTGGCTGGTGCTGGCCTAGGAGAGGAGTTAAGGGGGTGGAGCAAAAGAGTGCCATCACACGAAAACCATGACCTCACAGGTGGTCGAGTAACATTTCACTATTTGGAGTCTATGATCAGGCTTTTGCCTCCTGAGCTACTTCTTCAAAAGTCTCTCCAGGAACAAGCTCTGGAACATCATCATCGTTGTCTTCCTTGGCCTGTGCCGCCGCACCAGCAGCAGCCACCTGCCTCTGCATCTCCTCGGCAATCCTCTTCAGGTGTTCCATGTTGTCAGGGCCTGGAAGAATAAAAAAAAGGTGTTTAAGTCTCTTTCATATCCTTAGACCTGGCTACAAGCTTCTGTTTGTATTTTGATTGAACACACAGACAGCAACAGAGCAGGCAGAACAGAAACTCTAACTACCAAACTTTTAAGGCAACAGATACAATATGCAAAGAGTATACATCAAATCAATTCTCGTGTGTCTAGCAGTGCTAACCGTCAAGAGAATACGACAAAAGATAAAACAAGAAATGGTGGGATGCAGCAAGAAATGTTTCTGATAACGTTAGAAAAAGACCATGACATTAAATGATAACAAAGACGTTAAATGGGCAGAACTTGCCTAATCAAGCGTAGCTACGAATCTTCAAATACGTTACGAGATAACCATTTTTTGGATAACAACCTAAACATTAAGTACAGAGTGTAACATACCAAGTTGGTTGATGATCCCAGGCAAAACATCTTGTAGCTCTGTCAATACACAATAAATAACGATTTGAATAAGTCAGCGGCATAAAAAAGAATAGAATGAAACAGAAACACTGTACTTCATAGGGAAAGCTGAGCTTTTTTCTATGTAAGTAGAAGCAACATGCATCATTGACTTTACTACATGTATACCATTTTAGAAACCAGAGCAGAAACCACTCAGATAGCAGCTTACTGAATAAAAATGCAGTTTTTAAGAAACAAAAGGACCCACAATTGTGTTCAGATTAACCAGGTGCAGAATTCTGTAGGTGTAAAGACTAGTAAACCAGATTTCGGATTTACAAACATCTCACAAGGATTCAGCAAAGCTTAGCTGCTGTACTTGGGCAACCAGTGAACCAATCATATAGGTAGAACATGCACTGATCAGAAAACGTTATAGCTCTGAGAGTAACAACTAACAAGTTACTACATGACTGGTCAATCAAATGTAAACGAAGAATGAATATTCTTACTTTTCGTCTGTGGAGATCCACTGACCACCCATGTGTTTGCCGCGATGGAAGCTTGCACTGCATCAGCAGAGGAGAAAACATCAGCCAAACGAGTCAATAACAGCAGGATTCCTCATTTCAACATGTAACAGTAACCAGCAACAACAACAACAGTGCAGGGGATGGCAGACCTTTGGGATTCAAGAACTGGATGACGAGATCGTCCTTGAAGATGTTCACCTCCTCGATTGCCGGGATGGTGTTGACCCCTACTCTCTTGAGCGTGCTCTGCAGCCTCTTGTCGTCCGTAGTGCCCGTCTTGTGGACAGCCTTCTTCTTCCTATAAACCCAGAGCTCAAGTTTTTATTATCACTGGCATCGCAGCCACAGATGAACACGGAAGCCAAGACAGGTGAATCGAGTCAGTCAGTAACACCTACCTGCGCATGGTGCCCTTGCCGCCGGTGCGGACGGCGCCGGCCATCTTCATGAGCCTCTCCTTGTTCATCTGCGCAACGGAACGGAACCAACCAGTCGGTCAAACGGCGCAGGGAGCACGGATCTATCGCGAGAACTAATCGGTTCTAGCGCACCCAGAAATCGGGGTGGCGGTCTCCGATTTAGTACGACGATGTCCGATTGAGGAGCGGAAGCAATGACTGACCTTGATGGCGGTGGGGGGCGGCGCGGGCAGGCGACGGTGCGCGAGCAGAGAGGGATGGGGGCAGGAGGAGGAGGCGGCGGCGGCGCGAGATGGGCGGTAGGTTTTGGGGAGGATTATAGGGTTTTCAATTTTCCACACAAGTCCCTGGAGTTTCTTCGTATTATGTAGCCCCGCTAAAAAGGCTTTCAATGGGCCGCCCATCGGATTAGGTTGAGCGATGGGCCTGTATACTTCTTTCATATTCATGGTCTTCTTTCATCTTTGTGGATTTGTGGATCATTTTTTTTCTTACGATAGAACAAACAGTGGTTTAAGGTTAACAAAAATCTTCAACTCGGATGAACAAAATGAGCATGTAGCCTACTGGATACATTGCTTTACTGGTATCTCCAGATCTTAGGTTTGAGTCCCCGTTAGAGCGAATATAGAGGGGTCAAATTTCCTCTTGCCGCTAAAGAGCGAGTGTATAGTAGTAAAGATTTGCTCTCGTCTCTAAAGCCCGGGTTTAGAGATTTGAGTTCATTCTACCTTGATAGAAAATGCAATGGGGAGGTTATACCCCTTGTCAACTGGCTGGGCAATGTTCATTATGGTTTACTGGTTTAGGCAGTTTATGGTGAAAGAAAAATCTTGGCTGCAAATTATGATAAATTGTGGTTATGACAAGTAGGACACTATAATAGGAATTTAAGAATTTGTCACATTAAAGGTGTGGTAGCAAACCAGATAAATATAATTTTTAGATAAAGTAAAGTTACATCCACAATACAATAGCATGAAAGGTGGGTGCAGATAAATCCAACAACATCTAAAGTACTCAAATACATGGCCTGTTTGCTTGAACTTATCAGCTAGAATCTATAGTATTTTTTTTCTCACAACAAAACAGTTTCAGCCGACTTATCAACCAGCTTTAATACTAGCCGAACAGGCCCTAGGCTAATTGGTGCATGTTCGGTCCAAACACTAAAAAATGTGTGACATATTAGCACGTGCATTGTGCATAGGACTGCTTGCAGTGGGGAGTTTAATAATGCTATATAAATTCGCACATAACCCTTTGGTTCTTCTAAGCGTGACTACAATGTCCGCCTCCTCGAGCCAACATAGGCAACACAGAGGCGTCATTTTTACTGCCTTGAAAATATTCATATTATTATAAATTTTATTGCAATTCATGTGGACCACAAGCAAAAATATAACAAATACAACTGAAGCTAGCTATTATAACAATCAGATTCATTAATCTTCAATCTGAACGCCTGGATTGTGCCTTTGGAGGCTTGTAGATATATTTTCATGGGCTCTAAATATTTTATTCAAAATCATCATAATGCAATGTATCGCTATATTTTTTAGTTTGGATTTTTTAGAAGTTTAGAAACATTTTTTGTGGTTTAAAAACCATATTAAGTATTTATTACATTTTCTAATCAAAAAGGAAAACTACCTCCAAGACCGCTTTTGCAGCGAAGTAATTTGAATGATTTTCATAGTTAATACAGTGCAATGTTTGATTTTAGAGTTCATGGAAAAATACAGAGTACGGTGATAGCTTAAGAAGGTACTCCCTCCATCCCAAAAAAGAATGAAATTC